AAAGAGTGTCTGGTGGTCACATCCTGGGCCCGGGGCAGAAGTCAGTGCCCAGCATTCACACACATGGAGTCGTTCGGACCTCAGGGAAGGATTTGCAAAGCTGCTTGGAGTTGGTAGATAGTCCCATTCAGAAATGGCTAAACAAATCTCTCCTGGTTATTCCAGGCAGCATGCGTCCACGTGACACACAGTCAAGTTACCGTTAGTCAGCTGAGCCATGTTAGGTCTATATTTCTGTTCTTGCCTTGTGGCAATGGATGTAATATGGATTAATTTTCTCAGTTATGTGAAATCTCATTCATGGAGAGCAGTTACCCCAGCTCAGCTGATGCACAGAAACTTGGCAGGACTCTTTGGTACCAAACACTAAGTGCAGAAGAGGAGAGGGAGACAACTCAAGACTCAAGTCTTATGAGGAGCTGCTGAGGGAACTGGCGTTGTTTAGTCTGGAAGAGGCTGAGACCTTCTCGCTCTCTACAACTACCTGAAAGGAGGTTGTAGTGAGGCAGGTGTTGGTCTCTTTTTCCAAGTAACCAGTGATAGGATGAGAGGCAATGGCCTCAAGTTGTGTCACGGGAGGTTTAAATTGGATACTAGGAAAAATTTCTTTACTGAGAGAGTGGTCAGGCATTGGACCAGGCTGCCCAGGGCAGTGGTGGAGTCACCATCCCTGGAGGTGTTCAAAACCATGTAGATGTGGCCCTTCCGGACATGGTTTAGCAGGCATGGTGGTGCTGGGGTGATGGTTGGACTTCATGATCTTAGAGGTCTTTTCCAACCTTGATGATTCTGTGATTCATAACTCATGTCTGTTGTTACATCCACATCACTGTGCAATCATGAGGCCATACTTGGAGCAGAGCAGGCCCCTTTTCTTTTCCCGTTCGGTGAGGAAATTCCTCAGTTTGGTGGTAGGGAAGGTAACCAGTGCTTGCTGCCTGTTGTCCAAACCTGTCTCCTGGAGCCATGGGCTCTGAAGGCACTCCGAGGCAGATGGCCTTCCCCTAGGACAGACAAGGGTGAGAAGGTCAATTGGGGATCCATGCTGAGTGAGGAGGTTCCTTGCAAATGGCGAGAAGGAAGTGACAACAGCCAGGATCTGCACCAACTGTGCTGCTGGGAGAGCAGACAGCACCTTACCAGGGATTTGCACACAGTGTGCTCTGGAGGAAGGACACTGCTCCTCCAGAGAGGCCCGCGTAGCACCGCGTGAGCTTCACTTTCCCCTTCCTCGTTGTCCTCAGAAACTCGCAGGCTACGTCAGAGCTGACGGGGTAGTTGGCACTCAGCCTGCCCGAAAAGAAGAGAATTGATCAGCATGAAAGGCATCACTCGAGATGCTCCTTCTCCCAGGAGTTCCCACCCAGCAGTGAGAGGAAGGTCACGATGGTGTGCAGAAACGCCACGGGGGAAAACAAAATCCCAAAGGCCACTGTTCTGCAATGAGTTTCATGACCTTAGCTGCTTTTCCACTTGGTGTAATTTGAATTTTCTTGTTAAAGTTGGGGCATTTCAGATGAGGCTGAGTGAGAAACATCAGCAGCTTCTGTGCTGTAAAACAACCTTAATTCTGCCTTATGACTATATAATTGCACTTTCCAAACTGCTCGTAGGGCAGGGAAGGACAGACTGACTTACATGATGAAGGCTGTGATTCCGACGGACCAGATATCAGTCTGTGGGAGGGCTCCTTGCTCTGTCAGCAGTTCTGGAGCTAGAAAAGCAAACAGGTGTGAGCCAAGCTCCCCTCCAATACAGAGACCAGTGCCAAAGCAGTGGGTACTTTCATGCTTTGCTGCCTTCCCAAGAGTGAAGAAGAAAAAGCTTCTAATCCAGGGAGCTGATTGAGGTTAGACACACTCGTGGATGATGATTGCAATGAAACCTTGAGGACATCAGACCAAATGGCAATACCACACCCCGAGCTCTGGGCACATGGATGCCAGAGAAGCGTTGGACATAACCTCTGGATCTGTCCGCTGTGGTCTGCAAGTTGGATGGCTGTGACCACTGGCTGCTCATGCAAACTCACTGTTACTGGAGGGCAGCACTTGGAGACTTTGCTTGCTGGGGCCAGCTGCTGCCTTGACCGATGGGTCGATCTTTCTGTTTACCACAGATTACGTACAAGGACAAGGTTGCTGTGACTGAACTCTGTACTCACCCATGGTTTCAACATAGTCCGTGCACTTGTCCATAGTAATAACTTTGTCCTGTGTGTAGAACTGTGCGTTGCCGAAGTCCAGGAGTTTTAGCAGGTTGGGCTCGGTGATGATCATGTTTTCAGACCTGAGATCCAAGTGCAGGATGCCATGTGCGTGGAGATACTCGATGGCACTGAGGATCTGCCACAGGTAATCTCGGACCTCCACTTCTGAGTACGATGTCCTAGTATAAGAAAGGGGATGGAAACCAGAGGTATCTTACCTGCATGCCCAAGGACACCATTCTACCCCCACTATCGTCCTCCCCTGGAAGTCTAGTCCCAGGAGACCCTTGAGAGTCAAGAAGAAACGACTCTACTCATTTAGCAAATCTATTGTATATGGAGAGGCTGGTCCAGACTGCGAGTGAGGTTTACAGGTGCAAGAGGTTCAGGAGGTTGTAGAGCTGCATGTCAGAGAAAGCAGCGGTTGGGCAGAAATAAAAATGCAGATCTGATGCCCACCGTTCCCACTCCTTTAATCAGTGGGTTTCAGCAGATCGATTTTCTGTCATTGTGAGAAACAACGTGAAGGAGAAATGAGGCTTCCTGAGCCACAATAATCTCCTTGTTATGGGAGAAGGTCTACTGTAAACTGCTTTCAATATCTCAGCTGGGTGGCCCTGAATTGTCCTCTACCCCATCCTTGCAGGGAACTGAAGTAGTTTTTTTATGTCACAAGAAATTGCAGAATAAAGGCATCATAAATCCTGTGTACAATGACAGCACACAGGAACAGATGGAGAGAGATGTTGTTATTACCGTAATGCCAAGGAGTGGAGTAGCTCTGGTCCCACACACATCTCCTGGATCAGCACTAAGTGCCGTGGGCTGACGTAGGCTCCCTTCAGCTGAGCTATATTTGTGTGATGAAGCTTCCTCAGGACTTGGTACTCGAGGAGCACAGTCTGCTTGTCCTCTTGCCAGTAAGGGATAATTTTAGCAGCTAAAGTCTTGCCGCTTACTTTTTCCCTGCACCGTCGGACGATGCTGAAACGTCCCCTGGTACAAAGGAACACAAAGGCAAGTTAAGCTTCCCTGCTACTCCCGGGAGAGCCAGGAGCTTCTGTTCTTTAAAACCACCAGGATCCCATGCTGTGTTTTTCATCCATGCCCAGTATTGAGTTATTGCATCTATTGTCACAGTTTGCACATCCTCCTGTGTCTCTGAACGGAGCAGTCTTTAAATTGCTCTTTAAATTGCAGAAGTGAGATCTTAACTCCTGAAGAGAGAGAAGGTGGCTCATCCTGTCTCGGGCAAGAGAACTCCACCCTGCTGGCAACAGAAGTTGGTGTCTATCTCTCTTCTAGGCAGAGAAAGTTGACTCCCAGCCCCGTGTCTGAAAATGGTAGCTGCAAAGGTTGATGCAGCAGGGAGAGGAGCCTTTGTTAGCCCTGGGGTCACTTCACAGTACGCTAAGGGACTGTCCTGCTGCTGAGCACAGACCCTTTCGCTCTCCTGGAAAATCCACACCTGCATTCTGCCAAACTGAGATGAAGATCGCTCAGCCAGTGATCTCAGGCTTATACGTATTGCTGTGTCGGGTTTTTTTTTTCAACAAAACCCTGTGACACTAGGTGAGCAGCGCGTTTATAAAAGTGACTTTTCTGATCTTCAGCCACACTCGGCATTTCCCTCTGGCTCGTTGAGTGCTCGGTTGGATTCATTACCTTTTGATCTCTGTTTGGAAGGCGTAGGTCTGGTAGGTTGGGAAAGGCTCGGATGGTGTGATGATTTCACTCTCTTCTTCAGCAGCAGCTGATGGGAAGCTCTGCGTTGCAGCACGGAGCTCTGCAGAGAAAAAACAACAGGGCTGACATGGGAAAACACCTCTGTGTGGCAACTGGAGCCTCCCTGAGCCACCCTCCGCTGTCTACGAACAACAGCAAAGGCGACAGCAGAGCTTTCTCTGGGGAAGGCTGCAGGTTGTCTCCCAGCTGTGGCACCCAATACAATTTGAATGCAACAGATTCTGGACTGGCCACCCAGAAATTCCCTGGTGTGACCACTCCAGACTATATGAGATGGATTGTGTGCTGTGTGTTACGATCTCCAATATCTCAGCCGCTGGTTCTCATCTTCTTGCATAACAAAGTCATCAGGGCATGGTAAGACACTGACAAAGAATTAGAAGCTTCTTTTAGTCAGATGTTTTAGGGCAGCAGCTGAAACCTGTTGCTCTGGTTCTGGGATGTGGTTGTGTCCGAGTGCTCCCTGAAATATTGAAGCATCCCTTGATACATTCAAGCATCTGCTTGGAAATGCTGGGCACATTGAGATATGTTAATGAATCCTGGGCCAAGGGCAAGCAGAGGATTTAGGGTGAGTTAAAAATATCTATGTGAAATGATTTGTACAGAAGAATCCTCTCCACTGGGAGGAAATTCCAGTTAGACATCCTTCCGCTTCTTGGCAGAAAGGATACTTCCTTTGTTACAAGGATGTATTTGCTGTGGGGTTATGGATTTCTTAATTTTAAAATGTGAATAGTATGAAGTATTCAAACAGGTGAAAAAAACCCAGTAAATTCAGCTTTCTTTACTTCAGAGACAAAATACATCTGAAAAATGCGCCACAGTAGGGTGACAGTTCCCAGCAGCAAACACCAGAACACAGAAATTAACTACTGAACTGAAGGCTGAGTCCGTAACAAAGAGCAGGTCCAGTGCTTTCACCAGTGGCAGGTCTATACCAGTAGATCAATGCCTGCCGTCACACATTCGTTGTCCCAGACCTGTTTCCTCATGACCTCACATCAAAGCCGGAGTGTGTCTTCAGTGGGTAAACTACAGTTTCCAGATTTTTCTTTTATTATTGTATATTTTTATATATTTACGTGTTATTTACATTTACAGATTGTTATTAGTTTAGTATTTATTTGTTGTATATTTACACATATTTCCCTGACTATGTCCAGAATTAGAAAATCATTTACTTTCAAATAAGAAAGCCAAAGAGGAGGAAGCCCTAAGCCACCCTGAGCCAAGTGGAATTGGTCTTGATTCACTTGCTTTCAACTTCTGGACCTGCATCCAAATGGGTGAAGTTGTTTTGATGCAGGAAACCTGCAATACTTTCTTGGTGTTTGACCTTACCCTTTTGATCCTTCCCAGTGATTTTCACTTTGGCAGACGGGTCGCTGTAAGGGCCCATCCCTGCTTTACTGGTGCAGGCTATCCTGAAGCAGTAGATAAACCCCTTGGAGAGATTTTTGGCGTAGTAGCAGCAGTCAGTGATGTCAGAAGCAAGAGTTGTCCACTCCCCATCTTAATCAAGGAAAGACAGAAAAGAGGTTAGGACTCATTCAAGATGGTCACATCAGGGTATTTTTTTGAATGTTTGAGTTTTGCTGGGTTTTTTTTCCATCAACTTTACTTATGTGCTGGGAATATGGAGAAAAGGTGGGATCTCATAGAGTGAAGGAAATACCGACTTGCTGTGGCCAACTTCTGTGCATGGTGCCTCTTGCTGTGCACATGACAAACTTGTCATTTGTGAAATCAGCTGTTTTATATCTAATCAGTTGAAGGTGTGGCAATAATGTTTCAGAACAATGGTGAAACCTTCCTGCATAGTCACTGTTTATTTGATTCATACCACCAAGCTCTAGTGCAAACATACATGAAGAAGTCCAAACAAAAATCTAGCAAAATCATAATTTTTTTTTCCACTTTGGCCCTGTTTTGAATCCAGCTGGAATCATAAGGTGCAGGACTTCAGGACAGGACTATCCACTAAATCCCTCCTAGCAAACCCAGTGTTTGAAACTGGGGCCAAGTTCCCTCAGCTTTTAATGAAACTCAGGTGATCTCTCAGGGAACTGAACCTGTAGGTTTGTCCTGGACTCATTATTCCTGAGATGAAGGTGTGAAGTAGAAAATCACTAGAAAACATTTAATGATCATTCATTTGACATGATGCTGTGTCTCATACTTTGCCATTGCTGCTGTGCTCGAGGCTGAACTCAACTCCTTGACGCTGCGTGAGATTAAACCCATCCTTTCATTCAAATAAACACCAGTAGAGAGACTCAAACCATAGTACAAGCAATAACTCACAGTCCAGAACAAAGGCATCAATGACTTTGCAGGGTATTGTTTGAATTAGGGTGTGTGTAGGTATAAGGAGGAGCAGATGCAGCGCTGTCTAACAATGTCAAACAATGAATAAAACAAGGAAATTTTTTCTGATTGTCTTAATCATGCTTTTCTCAAGAAAGCAGGACTTAGCATGTTCCTGCCAAATACACAGAATACAATGGAAGATAGTAGCTGCTCTTTCCTGTTTTTATTCCTGACTGGAACTATTTGTGTCCTTCCCAAAGCCTCGCCTACAGTTGTGTCAAACGGAATAACAATAAAGAAATCTGCGTTGGAGGCAAAGTGACTGACACCAGTTCCAGAGTGAAAAACCAGGAAGCTGCTGCCCATGCTCATGCTAATCCAGAAAGAAGTGTGTGTATGTTTGGAGAAGTAAAAGAAGATCCGTGGAGCAGCTGAATCTGAAGGGCTGTGTATGTGTGACTGTAATAGAAATTACTGTCAGGCCTTGCATTCTTAATAATAACAGCAGAAGCAGTCGCAAGGGAGGCAGAACAGGCTTGGGGATTTGATTCAAAGATCGTGGAGTTAAACAAGAAAACATCCATTGACTTCAGAGGGCTCTGGACCAAGCCGTGGAAGAGAACAAAGGGATGATGCAGCTTTGCCAAGCTTTGGTCATCTTGTCCTGGCTGTTTTCCCTAAGCTTCCTGCATAATCAGTGGAAATGGAAAGCACGGCTTTTTAGCATATAGTGAATTGCCTTTTCGACAGATCATCTTTCTCCACGGACTGTACAGAAAGTCCGGGTGTAGGATCATATTTTCTGCCGACCATTGCTGGGCATTTTTAGTGTATCATGTTGTCAGAGCTGTAGTTGAAGAGGATTACTCAGGACTGCGTATCTGGCACCAGCCATGCATATTCTTCTGTAGCTGTTCACTTTTTGGTTACAGCTTCCACGTGACCTAGTTTGGTTCACTCTTTAGCAAAGCCTTGGTATGAGCATGCATAGTCCAGGCTGATTTCGCCAGAGCAACATCTAACTTTTAGATGGCTAAATGATGGCTGTATGAATTTCATTCCTCACTTTAAATGAGAGCGCTAAACTGAGGCTGTTTCTCAATAAAAATAAAATATCCAGCTGGTGAAGAAGTCATAGAAATCGAGATGTTCCCTGCAAGGCATCAGGGCAGCACTCCACTTTACCTTCGCTCTTGCACTGGACAGTGTAATGGATGGGGACATTGGTTTCCACAGGTTTCCAGACCACCTGCACTCCATCCTCGTAGACCTCCACAATGTCGGGGGGTGGAGGGCTGGGGGGAACCTCTGTCAAGGGGAGACAGAAACCTGGTGACTGTCAGCAATAGCACTGCTGTGGTACATAGCTCTACACCCAGAATTCATTGTATTTATATATATATATTCTCCTAGTGGACCAGCAATTTAGCTGAGCCTATTTTAAACTCAGTACTAAGATTTTGAAGTCTGGTTCTAGAACCACATGGCTACTGGAGTGGCCCTGAATCCAGGAGAGAGACTAAAGAGCGAAGAGGGAATGAACCCTGCAAAATGTGCCACGCTACCAAACAGCAAGGGCTGTGGCTGTGGACTAGAGCAGGCAGGGGAGAGGTTGTCCTCTGAACCTGTCTGCAGAAATCTTATCTCAGGTATTTACAGGTCACATTTTTGGGCAGAAGTACTGCTGTTCTCCAAACCCAGGGCTGCCTTCATCTTCAAAACCTGCTTGCCAAATTAAATTACGTTTGTGAAGCCTGTTAGCCCTCAGCATCTGTCGTGCTGTCCCTGCTCTCAAATGCCAGCTGCATTAGCTATTACAGAGGTCCTCTCCTTTTTTCAAACCCACTCTGCTTCTCACTCTCAGGTTGCAAGGTTTCCTGATTTCAGCTGTCTCCTCACATTTAGCACAAGGGCAAACAAAAATACAACAATCTGATGGGGGATAAACCCTCAAGAGTTGACCAGTTCTGCACACTCCACTTACCATTGGAAA